CTGAAGCCAACTTTACTGAAGCTAACTTTACTGAAGCTAACTTTACTGAAGCTAACCTTACTGAAGCTAACTTTACTTACTGAAGCTAACTTTACTGAAGCTAACTTTACTGAAGCTAACCTTACTGAAGCTAACTTTACTGAAGCTAACTTTACTGATGCTTACTTTACTGAAGCTAACTTTACTGAAGCTAACCTTACTGAAGCTAACCTTACTGAAGCTAACTTTACTGAAGCTAACCTTACTGAAGCTAACCTTACTGAAGCTAACCTTACTGAAGTTAACTTTACTGAAGCTAACCTTACTGAAGCTGACTTTACTGAAGCTAACTTTACTGAAGCTAACCTTACTGAAGCTAACCTTACTGAAGCTAACCTTACTGAAGCTGACTTTACTGAAGCTAACTTTACTGAAGCTAACCTTACTGAAGCTAACCTTACTGAAGCTAACTTTACTGAAGCTAACTTTACTGAAGCTAACCTTACTGAAGCTAACTTTACTGAAGCTAACCTTACTGAAGCTAACCTTACTGAAGCTAACTTTACTGAAGCTAACTTTACTGAAGCTAACCTTACTGAAGCTAACTTTACTGAAGCTAACCTTACTGAAGCTAACCTTACTGAAGCTAACCTTACTGAAGCTAACTTTACTGAAGCTAACTTTACTGAAGCTAACCTTACTGAAGCTAACTTTACTGAAGCTAACTTTACTGAAGCTGACTTTACTGAAGCTAACCTTACTGAAGCTAACTTTACTGAAGCTGACTTTACTGAAGCTGACTTTACTGAAGCTAACCTTACTGAAGCTAACTTTACTGAAGCTAACCTTACTGAAGCTAACCTTACTGAAGCTGACTTTACTGAAGCTAACCTTACTGAAGCTAACTTTACTGAAGCTAACCTTACTGAAGCTAACTTTACTGAAGCTAACTTTACTGAAGCCAACTTTACTGAAGCTATCTTTACTGAAGCCAACTTTACTGAAGCCAACTTTACTGAAGCTGACTTTACTGAAGCTAACCTTACTGAAGCTAACTTTACTGAAGCTAACTTTACTGAAGCTGACTTTACTGAAGCTGACTTTACTGAAGCTAACCTTACTGAAGCTAACCTTACTGAAGCTGACTTTACTGAAGCTGACTTTACTGAAGCTGACTTTACTGAAGCTAACTTTACTGAAGCTGACTTTACTGAAGCTAACCTTACTGAAGCTAACTTTACTGAAGCTAACCTTACTGAAGCTAACTTTACTGAAGCTAACCTTACTGAAGCTGACTTTACTGAAGCTGACTTTACTGAAGCTAACTTTACTGAAGCTGACTTTACTGAAGCTGACTTTACTGAAGCTGACTTTACTGAAGCTAACTTTACTGAAGCTGACTTTACTGAAGCTGACTTTACTGAAGCTGACTTTACTGAAGCTGACTTTACTGAAGCTAACCTTACTGAAGCTAACCTTACTGAAGCTAACCTTACTGAAGCTAACCTTACTGAAGCTGACTTTACTGAAGCTAACCTTACTGAAGCTAACTTTACTGAAGCTAACCTTACTGAAGCTAACTTTACTGAAGCTAACCTTACTGAAGCTGACTTTACTGAAGCTGACTTTACTGAAGCTAACTTTACTGAAGCTAACTTTACTGAAGCTAACCTTACTGAAGCTAACCTTACTGAAGCTAACTTTACTGAAGCTAACCTTACTGAAGCTGACTTTACTGAAGCTGACTTTACTGAAGCTGACTTTATTGAAGCTAACTTTACTGAAGCTGACTTTACTGAAGCTAACCTTACTGAAGCTAATTTTACTGAAGCTAACCTTACTGAAGCTGACTTTACTGAAGCTGACTTTACTGAAGCTGACTTTACTGAAGCTAACTTTACTGAAGCTAACTTTACTGAAGCTAACCTTACTGAAGCTGACTTTACTGAAGCTGACTTTACTGAAGCTAACTTTACTGAAGCTGACTTTACTGAAGCTGACTTTACTGAAGCTGACTTTACTGAAGCTAACTTTACTGAAGCTGACTTTACTGAAGCTAACTTTACTGAAGCTAACTTTACTGAAGCTAACCTTACTGAAGCTAACTTTACTTACTGAAGCTAACTTTACTGAAGCTGACTTTACTGAAGCTGACTTTACTGAAGCTGACTTTACTGAAGCTAACTTTACTGAAGCTAACTTTACTGAAGCTGACTTTACTAAAGCTGACTTTACTGAAGCTAACTTTACTGAAGCTGACTTTACTGAAGCTAACTTTACTGAAGCTAACTTTACTGAAGCTGACTTTACTGAAGCTGACTTTACTGAAGCTGACTTTACTGAAGCTGACTTTACTGAAGCTAACTTTACTGAAGCTGACTTTACTGAAGCTGACTTTACTGAAGCTGACTTTACTGAAGCTGACTTTACTGAAGCTGACTTTACTGAAGCTGACTTTACTGAAGCTAACTTTACTGAAGCTAACCTTACTGAAGCTGACTTTACTGAAGCTGACTTTACTGAAGCTAACTTTACTGAAGCTGACTTTACTGAAGCTGACTTTACTGAAGCTGACTTTACTGAAGCTAACTTTACTGAAGCTAACTTTACTGAAGCTAACCTTACTGAAGCTAACTTTACTTACTGAAGCTAACTTTACTTACTGAAGCTAACTTTACTGAAGCTGACTTTACTGAAGCTGACTTTACTGAAGCTGACTTTACTGAAGCTGACTTTACTGAAGCTAACCTTACTGAAGCTAACTTTACTTACTGAAGCTAACTTTACTTACTGAAGCTAACTTTACTGAAGCTGACTTTACTGAAGCTGACTTTACTGAAGCTGACTTTACTGAAGCTAACTTTACTGAAGCTAACTTTACTGAAGCTGACTTTACTAAAGCTGACTTTACTGAAGCTGACTTTACTGAAGCTAACTTTACTGAAGCTGACTTTACTGAAGCTGACTTTACTGAAGCTGACTTTACTGAAGCTGACTTTACTGAAGCTGACTTTACTGAAGCTAACTTTACTGAAGCTGACTTTACTGAAGCTGACTTTACTGAAGCTGACTTTACTGAAGCTAACCTTACTGAAGCTGACTTTACTGAAGCTAACTTTACTGAAGCTAACTTTACTGAAGCTAACTTTACTGAAGCTAACTTTACTGAAGCTAACGTCTGTCATTGTTTCTATAGTCTTGCGTTATAATCGTAGCGTTACGCCGTCATCGAGTGTTTTGTACCAGACTGCACACACACACGAGCAGCGGATCTCGCTCGTTGTTTCGCTTCCCCGGAGATGTAGTTCATTGCGCGATTTTCACATAAAACTAAATGTCACTCTTCTGTTTCATGACAAACTGTGACTTTCTTGACTTTTATAATTATCTTTTAAATTGACAAACATCATATATGTAATTCAGGGCACAGTTCAGACGGAATAAAAGATAAGTTGTCTCTGTGACTACCATACATATTTTTTCCGAAATAAGGTCCCATGAGCCGGAAGCGGAGGGGAGGGGCTTAGGCTCTCTATCGCATCCAAAATAAAAGTTTGTTTACATAATATATGTGTGTGTACTGTGTATAGTTATTTTGTATATATAAATACACACATATGCATAAATATGTATATATTTAATAAATATTTGCATGTATATACTGTATATATATTTATACATAATTTATATTATATATAAATTAGGGCTGTCAAATGATTAATCGTGATTAATCACATCCAAAATAAAAGTTTTTTTTACATAATATATGTGGGTGCACTGTGTATAATTATTTTATATATATAAATACACACACATGCTTGTATATATTTAAGAAATATTTGCATGTATATACTGTATATAGATTTATATATAATTTATATTATATATAAATATAAATATTTTATATATAAATAATATTTTTTTCTTAAATATACATGCATGTGTGTGTATTTATATATATACAAAATAATTATACACAGTGCACCCACATATATTATGTAAAAAAAACTTTTATTTTGGATGTGATTAATCGTGATTAATCATTTGACAGCCCTAATATAAATATAAATATTTTATATATTAATAACACATTTTTCTTAAATATATACATGCATGTGTGTCTATTTATATATACAAAATAATTATACACAGTACACACACATATATATATATATTACGTAAACAAACCTTTATTTTGGATGTGATTAATCGTTGCCCATCCATTCTTCTTTCTGACGAATACAATCGGGAGTTATATTAAAAAATGTCCTTGGTCTTCCAAGCTTTATAATGGCAGTCAATGGGTTTTTGGAAGTCCTTCAAAGCATGATTAAAGTGCTCGAAACGGCTCTGCGGGGGTTAATAAAGGTCTTCAGTAGTAAAGCGATGCGTCCGTGTAAGAAAAATATCCATATTTAAACCTTTATCGACTAATATAACTTGCGCCAAAAGAGTAACACACGCATTTGGCTGATGTTAATGTCGAGGTATATATATTATATATCATCCAGAATAGACTCAAAACATTTCTAAATTGAGTGAAAATTGTGTAAAATAAGTTTACTTTCAGTGTTTTTATGAAAAGTCTTCCTCTAAAAGTCTTATATTTATATACTGTATGCCAGTTGAACTGAATTGACCTGAATAATGACACTATTGTCTTCTGTAGAGCTGCTTATAACTGAATTAAACTCGTCTTTTACACTGTTATTGAACTGAATAGATCTGAATTAATAGTCTTTTTAGAGCTGCTTTACAGCTGAATTTGCATCATTGATTCTGTCATTTTCCTGTGAAGCTGCTTTATAACGATATGTATTGTATAAAGCGCTATAGAAAATTAAATAATATAAGCTTTCCCGAGCTCAGACAGTAGAGCGTTTGCGCTTGCAATGCCAAGGTCATGGGTTCGATTCCCAGGGAAAGCAAGAACTGATAAGAATGTTAATGTGTACCTTGAAATGCAATGTAAGTCGCTTTGGATAAAAGCGTCTGCCAAATGCATAAATGTATTTCTGCAGGTTTTCTTCCTCCCATCACACTGCCGGAGAAGTTCTTCCTCTCGCAGCTGATGCTCGCGCCGCCGCGAGATCTCTTCAAGAAGACGCCGAGACAGGTGTCCTCCATGGACGTGAGCGCCACGCCACAGACCATCGACATCAGCGGACTCCAGCTCGCACTCGCTGGTACGAAGCAAACTACAGATGCAGTTATATAAGGCTTAAAGTGATAGTTCACCCAAAAATGTAAACTCTGTCAGTCATTACTCGCCCTCATGTTGTTCCCCGTAAGACTTTCGTTCATCTTCGGAACACAAATTAAGATATTTTTGATTAAATCTGAGAGCGTCTCACTCCTCCATAGGCTTCTCCGTAATTAAAACTTGCCGGCCCAGAAAGTTAGTAAAGACAACGTTTAAAATAGTCCGAGTGACTACAGTGGCTCAACTCTTCATGTTCTTCTCTGTGGGCCTCGAGTGAGTTCACGTAGTGTAACAGCGCAGCGCTTCTGGGTTGTACGTCACACGCATCACACACATGACCAGCGGCGGCCAATAGTGAGCCATCGTGTGACGTACAACCCAGAAGCGCTGCGCTGTTACACTACGTCAGGGGTCGGCAACCTAAGGCACGCGGAGGGTTAATCGCTGACACGCAGCAAGCGCGAGAGAGGTGTATGTATTTCATTCAGATAAAGTAGCATACCTCCCACCTGCATACAGATCAACATTTTGATGTAATAATTCCTCGTAGTAACAGCTTGTTTTATTAATTTAGGAGTTATTTACTATTAAAGTGTGAGAATTAAACTGCACTAGTCAATGAAAGCGTGCAGCTCTAACAAACCATTAGCGCGACCACTGCGCATCAGCGCAAACAAGCAGTGTTGGGGGTAACGAGTTACAAAGTAACGGATTACAGTAACGATATTACTTTTTTGGGTAACGAAGTAAAGTAACGCATTACACTAAAAATATCGGTAACTACACTACTTTACTATACTATAGGAACGCGCTTTCCTGCGTTACCCAAGCCGTGTTTGCTTGTGTGTAAAGTTCTGTCTAGTGGTGCGTGCGCACCGTTGCCATAGAGATCGATTTTAGTGACATAGCTGCCGGTGCGAAGGAGAGAGGGAAATGGAGACGGAGACGGAGACAGGGGGTCTCTGCAGCGCGAGTCTCCGCTGACTGCACGCGCACCTCCCCAAACGGACGAGGCGTTTATACTCGACGCGCTCGCCATTGTACTATTCTGTGAAACGACGGGGCGACTCGAGTAATTGTCCTCTTAACCATCAGGAATCAACGGTGAGAAGAAGAAAGGTCCACACGTGATGGTGTTTATTTTAGTAGGCTACATCACCACCAATAACACTACAAAGTGTACGTAAAATCCAGTAAACCCTGAGATTATTACTTGTGACATTAGAACAAAATGTGGATATAAAAACATGTATGTAGACTATAGAACTAAATCAACGATCTCTTAAATAGTTTCTAATTTCACTAAACATTTCATTAAGTTTCGTGGACATTTTATAAAACATGGATCTTTCTATTAAAAATGCTTATTATGCTATTGTAGGCTCATTTTGTAAACATAAGCAACTGATTTAGACACGCAAACTGTGTGCCGGTGCGGTCACGGTGAGACGTAGGCTACATGCTTGGGCAGATTCGGCTTAATTCTTGAAGTCGTTCATCCTCGGATTCGGCGCCGCGCGCGCTGTTACAAAAACTCTTCTCAAGTCTTGGAGCACAGCAGGTAACACAAAACAAAATGAACAGGCTTGTTGCAGGGTTCATTGTAGAGGAATGCTTCCCCTGCCGACTATTGAATCGCCAAGAAAAATGCATTTTAAATTAAGATTAAAAATGTAAAAGTGACCTTTATTTTATTATTTTTCATTGACCACTTCATTTTTTATTTTTATTGCCATGAGTCGAATAAAAAGCTTGTTTTGTTCTCAGGAGAAGAGTTTATTCTCATGTTTCCCAAAGCCTGTGTTTTAAAACTTGTGTGTTGACCCCATTTTAAAATGACCGCACCATAGCCTCCTTTATCCTGTTGTTTGTGGATTTTACAGTGAGATATATTTCCTTGTGCAGACAGGGATATTGTTCTTTCATATGGTTTTACATGCTATTTTGTATATATTTATACAATAAACACTATGTAGACAGGCTAAGTGATGATAGGGCTATGATATTTGTCCATAAATTAAGAAACAGGAAAGTAAAGTAATAAGTAGTGAAGTTACTTTTCAAACGCAGTAACTAGTAAAGTAATCTCATTACAATTTACAGAAGTAACTAGTAACTAGTAACTAATTACCTTTTTTGAGTAACTACCCCAACACTGCAAACAAGTTATCCAACTGACAGCTTACAGCTCGTTCCGCTGTAAATAGTTAATGCTATACATTTCAACCAGGTGTATAGAGTTCTTATTAAACATTCTATACATATTAAAATGACTGTGATGCATGTGGAAACTCCGTTCGTGCGTACCTGGTCACTTCATGTGTTTTCTCTGATCGGAAAGCTATCCAATCGTGAGACAAATGCCCTCCGACAAAGAGGACACTTTTTCATATTCGAGATGAAACTGAACAAAATGCATCTGATTGTTAAAGTCACAAATGTAAATTTTACTCTTCCTAAAATGGTAAAAAAATATAATAATAACATGCGAGAGTGCGTCATAACGGCTCCCAGTTTACAGATATGACAGCGCAAGCCGACGTGCAAACCTGCTGCAAATAATAATAATAATAATAATAATTCATTACATTTTATATAGCGCTTTTCTAGGCACTCAAAGCACTTCACATGGAAGGGGGAATCTCCTCAACCACCACCAATGTGCAGCATCCACCTGGATGATGCGACGGCAGCCATAGTGCGCCCGAACGCTCACCACACACCAGCTTACTGGTGGAGAGGAGACAGAGTGATGAAGCCAATCAGTGTATATATATATATGGGGATGATTAGGAGCCATGATGGACAGAGGCCACTGGGCAAATTTGGCCAGGATGCCGGGGTTACACCCCTACTCTTTCGAAAGACATCCTGGGATTTTTAATGACCACAGAGAGTCAGGACCTCTCGGTTTAACGTCCCCGTCACTATACTGGGGCGTTAGGACCCACACAGACCACAGGGTGAGCGCCCCCTGCTGGCCTCACTAACACCTCTTCCAGCAGCAACCTGGTTTTCTCAGAAGGTCTCCCATCCAGGTACTAACCAGGCTCAGCCCTGCTTATGCCGAGTTCAGACTGCACGATTTTAGCCCCGATTTTGGCTCGCTGACAGGTTTTGAGAAATCGCCGACAAATGCCCGAAATCACAGGGAAATCGGTTCTCGTTCACGCGAGTGACAATCACGCAGTGTGAATGAGCAAAGACGCGATCTGAGAGAATCGCCGACGCCCGTGAGATATTTGGCATGCTAAATATCTGGACCTGTCGGCGATTCACAATCCTGCTGTGTGAAGGTGTTCTGACTGAAAACTACATCGGCGATGACCGACAGCCAATGAGAGAGCAAGATACAGGGAGGAGGAGGAGGAGGAGTTATAGACCAGAATATCAGTATTTTAATAGATAGGCCTATATTTACAATTATATCAAACAGAAACAAAGCACAAACATTTGCATGACCAGCAGCAACAGCAGGACATTTGCTAAATTATTTATTTATTAACCCCCAACTCTCTTTGCAAAACACAGTCCTTGCTCTCCTCGTCTTCCCAACCATTTCCTGCATAAACTGTTTATTTATTTATTTTTTCATTTTCGCTACAAATCGGTGCACTGACAATTTGTAGGCTATCATTTTTAATAACAAATTCAGTGTCGCGCGAGAACTCCGGTCTCACGCACGCGTGATCTTCCGTTATTTCCTATCACTTCTCGCGTTTGTTTGGTTGTGAAACGTAGTTTGCGGACCAGGCAGAAGTTGTCGGCGATTCTTTCTTTTGTAAAGTCATGCAGTGTGAAACCTCCTGTCGCCGATCCATCGTGCAGTGTGAACACAGCAGCAACTGAATGTTACCCCAGATAGTCATGCAGTGTGAAAACAACAGTGACCCGATTATTTTGAAAATCGTGCAGTCTGAACTCGGCATAAGCTTCAGTGGGCAACCAGTCTTGGGCTACAGGGTGATATGGCTGCTGGCTATACACACAGTTGTCTTCATTAAAATTAGTCACAGTAAATTATCTTACCAGTGTTGATGCCACTCTTGAAATTAGCTAATGATAAATAAAATGCAGGTCATATCTTGCGAACCTGAATTTGCATATAGCGTGGGAATTAAATATTCAATTTATATTAGATTTGCGGAGATACAGTTATTTTGTCATATGTAAGTGTAACACTTTTAACAAAACTGAAAGTAAAGAAGTCAGAGTAAAAACACATGAATGACCAGGTCCAATCTGTTCTTCAAAGTCTAATTTAGGCCTGAAAACAAAGATGACAAATCTAAAACAAATTTCATGAGAAATATTTAAATGTCTTTACTATTTCTGTGGTAGCATTATGAATATTTAAAATATGTTTGTGTATACAATAGGGGTGTGGGGGGAGTGGGGTAAGGGGGGGGATATGGGTTGTGGCACAGTGATGAACTCGGAAACTTAAAAATGGCACTTTATGACAAAAAGGTTGCCGACCCCTGCACTACGTGAACTCACTCGAGGCCCACAGAGAAGGACATGAAGAGTTGAATAAAGTCGTTATTTTTGTTTGTTTTTTGCGCACAGAAAGTATTCTCGTCGCTTGATAAACTTAAGGTTGAGCCACTGTAGTCACTCGGACTATTTTAACGATTTATTTAATAACTTTTCTGGGCCGGCAAGTTTCAATCCCAGAGAAGCCTATGGAGGAGTGATCCAGCTCTCAGATTTAATCAAAAATATCTTAATTTGTGTTTCGAAGATGAACGAAAGTCTTACGGGGAACAACATGAGGGCGAGTAATTACTGACAGAGTTTACATTTTGGGGTGAAATAACCCTTTAATGTTTATAATATCATAATATCGTCTACATTTAGCAGATTAGAATTGAGCGATAATATAGTTGCGTATTATATCATATATAGTATGATATTAATAATAGGGATGCACGATATATCAGCTAACCATATCGGTATCAGATAATTTTATCACTATCGGCCTGATAAGAAATTTGATTGATATATTAAAGCCGATAAATAATGGATAATTTCCCCTCAGCTGAGACGCTTCAGATGCGCACTGTTCAACATGATGGTTTTGAATTGCTTGAAATGTGATTGAAATCGCTTCAAGAAAGGAACATACTATGAAGTGCAACATGTGCAGCGCAAGTCTGTCTTATATAGACTACATACAATTATAATTGTGTGTTTGGGGCTTTAAGGCGAGACACTACAGGTGAATTATTTTAACTAGCAGATATCACCATGAAACTTTCCCAGTTGATTACCTTCATTAAGATGAGAAAAAATGTATTACAAGTTTTCTGTAATTTTTAATGTTTAAATATGTAAATTATATAATTAAATATGGGCTAATTTGCTTATATTTAAAAAACGAAATACGAGTATTGGATAAAGCTAGGTTCAAAATTCTTTTTTCATTGTGTTCACTAGGGGTGTCCCCGACTAAGGATTTTCATGGTCGAATCAGATTCGTCAAGTCCTGCCTATAGTCGACTAATAGTCGAATCATGTGTGTGGCGTCGGGGAGGGGGTGGGGCTTTAACATTTTAAAGCCGCGATGTACAGAACATCACACAAAGATATAGAAGAAAATGTATAAAAACATTTTGGATCAATAAAACTAAGAAATAACATAAATAACTGCAGAAAGGCCACACTGCAGATAGGATTTGCATTTCACATGCAAATCAAATTAAATCGGCTGAATTGCCTGTACGAGCATGCTCTAAAATAGTTAAATTAGATCACCCTGAGTGATCAATTAATAAAATAAAAATAAAGAAATTATTAAAATAACGAAAGTATGGCCAGGATTGTCAACTTTGTCTTTTTAACTGCAGAAACAACAATAAACGCTAAACTGGAGCGGCAGTCTTTTTAGCTAAACATGTTCACAGTATCCAAAAATCAAATTAGAACCGGCTGAAATGTTTTCAAAATCACTTGTACCCATACCTGATCGAAAAAAACAAAATCCAGTCTTTCACTCGGCCTGTGTCCGTTTGAGTCTTTTCAAATTGTGCGCGCGGATAAAATACATTCTAAAACGCTTAACGTGAAAAACGCTTTACGGCTTTGTCCTAAAACTGTTATATTAAAAGATCAAATTCTGTACACACCTTATTAATAAAGGATACTATATAGTCTACAGAAAAGTAGATGAGCCCAGAATATGAACGCAACGCGTTTTATTATAGGCTACGTTAAGCATTTTCCTCCCATAGAAAACCGTTAAAGAAAAAGCTTTACGTGACTTTCTATAGGAGTAGTACCAGTAGTTCTATGTGAAATCAGACATTGAGCACACTCATATAGTCAAAATGACATAATCCTCGTTTAATAACACATCTGCGAAGATTCGACCGTGAGATTGGTAGTCGAATCAGGCTCCTCCTATCGAAGCATCGAATCTTCGACTATTCGGGGTCACCCCTAGTGTTCACATATTAGATGGGGGAAAATACAGAGGGATTTATGGATATCTCCTTTTGTTATGCTGTAAATCAGAATATACTGTCAATAGCCTTAAAAAAAGGATTTTCGCCATGTTTTATGGAATAAAATGTTATGTAAATCAGGCTAGGAATAATATATTTTACAAATCCCCTGGTAAATGTCTTCATAATATAACTAGGTACAAGACTGGAAAGTTTGGTGTATATAAGTGCTACTGAAGTGGAGATGTCGGACTTGGAGTATGAGAGAAAAGTCATTTTGAGAAAACGGGCTTTAAAGATTTAGCATCAGCCAATGAGATTGCGCATTTAGAGTTAAATCCCCCCTTTTACTTTCACGATTGGTTGCTGATAAAAAGGAAATGCCCGTATTTGGATGCGACAGCATTGTACAGGAGAGAGAGCTTTCCAGCGGTGTGTGTGAGGGTGCAGACAGCGATCGCGGAGCAGCCGGAGGATTTAGATCGCCAACTTTTGATGAATTTAGGAGAAATCTACAGACGCAAACAGACAAAGTGTAGTAAAATAAAGACCTAAATGTGTATTTCTGACTTTTTTTTCACCACAATTCTGAAAGAAGATATTGTTATTGAAGACAAATATCCCAAAATCTCAAAATTGACCAGTGAAAACAAAACAGTGTTTTTGCCTACCGTGTCTCGCTTTAATAGTGAGACCTTTGTTTTTGTAATAAGGCACTCAAACATTATATTGAAATTTGGATTAAATCGGCCTAAATTTTCATATCAGTGCATCCCTAACAAACAATCATACAGCCAAGCCGATTTGCATACTATATATCGCTTTAGATAAGTGTACTGTATGTCTGCAAATGCTTATCAGTCCTTCAAGAAAAACGTGTTTTTTTTGTGATTGTTGCGGGCAAAAATTCTTGATTATGCGTCCCGTATTCTTTAAATATGCGGGATATTTATGCAATTTTATGCGATGAAATTGCGGGAACTTGCAAAAACTGCGTTTTGATGAAAAAGAGAAAAAAAGTGATTCCCCAACACCCTGTTCTCACTAGGCTCCTACCTTAATGTAAAGAGTCATTTCTTATTACTTCCTATGATAAGCAAGCGTATACATCACAGAAAGTGCTGGAAATATTTCAGTTCTCATCTTGTTTTATTTCAGACCTTAATAAACACATCAAACTTACAAAACACTGATGAGTCAAACAAATTCTGTAGCTTTACAAAAGGAATATGCTACAACTTCTGTAAAAATGAATAAATGAAATATAAAAAAATAAAGTGTGCTCCTGTTTTACAGCTTTTCGATGATGTTCACGTCGCTTCACTTCATAACGTTCCCATGGCAACGGGGAAACGGCGGCTCTCGTGTGAAGTAAACGCAACATTTTTCAGCTTTCTGCTCAGATATGTGACTTTTTTGCAATGAAAATGCGAGGATTATGAAATCATGCAAGCCCCGCATATTTTGCACGGAAATTAGCAATTTATGCGGCGAAAGTGCGGCGTTTTTAAAAAATGCCCCCGCATAAATATACGGACTTTGGCTGATTATGCACTAAATCATGCGATCGCATAATCACGTTTTTCTGGAGGGACTGGCGTATATATCCAACTAGCTGGCCGCCGATAATATAGTATTTCTCAGAGATATAACAAGCATCTTGTGTCTTTTCATTCAGAGCGTCAGTCGGAGCTGCCCACTCAGAGTAAGGCCAGTTTTCCCAGCCTGCTTAGCGACCCGGATCCAGACTCCTCCAACTCGGGCTTCGACAGCTCCGTGGCCAATCAGATCACAGAGTCTCTGGTGACTGGACCTCGTCCTCCTCTGGAGAGTGAGTGTGAGGCTGATGTTTAGTAGGGGTGTAACGAGACCCTCATGTCACGATTCGACACATATCACGATACTGAACTCACGATACCATATTATTGCGATACTCAAAGACATATGAAAAAAGACATATTGATTAAAATGCTAACTTTGGTATTACATTGTGTGTGTAAATGAATAGTCTTGGACTTGGTGCTGGAAACCCAAAGCACAGGACAATAGAGACACCAGAATAACAATATTCATGATTCTGAAGCTGAAAATACAGAATTATTTTAGATTAATATGATTTCACTCTGACTAGATGTATTTAAAATAAAGTAGGACACTTTTTACTGGTAACATCAGACATTTGGCATTATCAGGACACACAAATATCCCCCCATTGCATTATTATACATTATATTCAACATTATAAAGTAGTTCAATGTAGTACTGACACTAAAACTCTGTAAACTTGCATTGTTCTCACACAGTCATTTTTATTTTGGGTGAACTATCCACCGTATTCCGACGCCCCATGACACTTTGCGCGAATTATGGGTGTAACTTCCGTTAAGCTGTAAACAATCAGTGAAAGGCTCGCTCTATGAACGCAATATGTTAAAAAAGTGTCACAATGAGATGACATTAATCGACTCACCCTTCAACCATCGAACATTAAAATGAAATTTAAAAGTTTAAAAGAATCAACAAGGCACTTTCAACAGACCAAAAATAGCCCCAAAAGCGCGAGTCTTTGGTTAAATATCACTGTAGTGGGCAAATATATCTGTATTGTAATTACAAGCCTTAATCAAAAATGTTCATTAACTTCAGCATTACGTGACACTATATCAAAGTGATTTCCGTCTTTTTGACAGATTATAAATTGCATTTACCTGTGAAAACAAACCTGGAAAGAGACGTGAGGATTTGAGGAGAATAACGAGAGATTCTTTGTGCATTCCAGTGAATTATTAATGGAATATCGAAAATGAAAATTTAATTCGAGAGAACAGACCACAGATGTGCCGTATATGTTGTCCTTTTTCATGTTTTTACAGTGGATTGCAAAGGAAAAAATAAAAATCATCATGAGGAAAAGAAAGCAGCGACTGAAAAGAGCTCTCGCTGTAGATATTCTTGTTATAACATGTCACGTTAAAATACCAAGTATAACGTTATTCTCATGATGTCTGAAAATAAACCATGAAGAAAAACTGACGGATCCGCTTTATTTATAGGGCAACCTTATGATTTGAAATGATTCGTTTTAGCCTTTTTGAATGGAAGTTCCCCAAACCGGAAGTGCCACCCATAATTCAAAATGCAGTAAGGTCGTCAGGAATAAGGTGGATACATGTTGCACTTTTGTATTGCGATATATTGTGACACGATATATTGTTACACCCCTAGTGTTTAGTTTTTATTGTGATCCAATGGTTAAACGTGTCTTTTCTGTCCCGTCTGGTTCTCTGTCAGGCCACTTTCGTCCCGAGTTCATCCGGCCTGCTCCGCCTCTTCTGGTGTGTGAGGATGAGCTGTCCTGGCTCAACCCGTGTGAACCGGATCATCGGATTCAGTGGGATCGGTCCATGTGTGTGCGGAACGGCACAGGAGTGGAGATCAAGCGCATCATGGCCAAAGCCTTCAAGAGTCCATTATCAGCGGCACAGCAGACGCAGGTACACAACCTCACCAAACACAGTCAGGTCCAGCTCACATTCAATTATGAAGATGTTGCTTGCATTATTTAGACATGTTTTTGTGACAATTAAAGGAATAGTTCACTTCAAAATGGAAATGCTGTCATCATTTACTCACCCTCATGTTGTTTCAAACCTGCATGAGTTTCTTTCTTCTGCTGAACACAAAAGAAGAATGTCGTAAACCAAACAGTTGATGGACCCTATTGACTTCCATAGAATTATTATTCTTCCTACTATGGAAGTAATGACGACAGAATTTTCATTTAGAAGAAAACTATTCCTTTAAGCACATTTCAATCTCTTTACTGTAATGTCACAAAGTAACTATATCTATCCTCATCACATTTATATAATGTTAGTGCTTGTTGCACTGCCTTTAATTTATGCTTTATTTTTAATTACATGAGTATTACGGTAACAAATACATATATATATATATCATCATTGGGAATAAACAAGCTTTTTTTCTTTACACCCTATCAGTCAAAAGTTTAGGGTTAGCAAGAATTCAACAAGGATGCCTTAAATTAATCGAAAGTGATAGTAAAACATTTATAATGTTTTGAAAGATTCTATTTCAAATAAATGCTGTTCTTTTGAACTTGCTATTCATCAAAGAATTCTGAAAAATAAAATATATGACGGTTTCCAAATAAATTTGATCAAATAAATAATTATAATAAATTTTTTCTCTCTCTCTCATTACATTTTTTATTTGGGCAAGCTAAAATAGCAATTCAGTGTTAAAGGGGTTAATAAAATCCCATATAAATATAGAGTTTAGCTATAATAAGGTAATGACTTTGATGTTAGATGTAAATGGGGCGTGAACAAATGTATTTCTGATGTTGACCCTTGATGACGGTCTCCAAATGTATGCATGAGTGAAGGTTTTGATTGTAAAAGAAAGGAAAGAAAAAGGGAAAAAGAGGGAAAACCTTTATATATATTCTTTTTTAGAAATGAGTGTTTCCGTTTCTAAGATGCTATTTCATATCTTGAGACTCTGTATTTTAAATCCATTGGCGCTCCTTTCTAGCTGCTTTTTTAAAAATCTTTGTACTAAAAATGTGATCTCTTTAATGTTTTTGTAAATAAAGTTTCTCTCTCTCTCTCTCTCTCTCTCTCTCTCTCTCTCGTCAGCTGCTTGGTGAACTGGAGAAGGATCCTAAGCTGGTTTACCATATTGGACTGACACCAGCCAAACTACCGGACCTGGTTGAGAACAACCCACTAGTGGCCATTGAGATGCTCCTGAAGCTCATGTCATCCAACCAGATCACGGAGTATTTCTCTGTCCTGGTCAACATGGACATGTCACTGCACTCCATGGAGGTGGTCAACAGGTACAGCGTTAAACTCTTTCTCTAGGGGCTTTCGCACCGGATAGTTATAGGAACCAGAGAACTAATGGTTCCCCTAGGAACGTTTTCTGGTTGCATTCGCATCGCCAGTAGGAACTCTGAAGTGACGTAAGACACGCTTGTTGTTGGGACTTTTATTTTGACGGTGCTGAGAACGCCAGAGCCTGAGCAAATGAACAATGCTCGCATTCTCTGTGTTCATTAGTTTACGATCTGTCTAACAGTCCTGTCAAATACATAATTAGATATAACTATTATACATAAAGTATAAATATATACAGGTGAAACTCGAAACATTAGAATATCGTGCAAAAGTTCATTTATTTCAGTAATTCAACTTAAAAGGTGAAACTAATATATTATATAGACTCATTACATGCAAAGTGAGATATTTCAAGCCTTTATTTGTTATAATTTTGATGATTATGGCTTACAGCTTATGAAAACCTTTTCACAATATTTTAATTTTGAATTTGGGGTTTTCATAAGCTGTAAGCCATAATCACAATTATAACAAATAAAGTCTTGAAATATCTCACTTTGCATGTAATGAGTCTATATAATATATTAGTTTTATAGTTGAATAATTCAAGATATTAAGTCATATTATATAAGATTTTTTAAATTAACATATTATAAAAAATCCCAAACCTTTTCAGTAATTCTGAATTACTGAAAAGGTTTGGGATTTTTTTATAATATGTTAATTAAAAAAATATTATATGATATGACTTGCTGTTTTTGTTTGTTTGTTTTTTATTGTATATTTATATGATATTTGTATTTCTGTAATTGAATTTTTGCCATGAAAATAGCCTTGGATGCTGACATGGCACTAAATAAAAGGATCTGAATCTGAAGTCCCCGTGCGAACCCTGCATTCAGTGCGTGTGTTTGTTGGGCTGTAGGTTGACGACAGCAGTAGATCTTCCTCCTGAGTTCATCCATCTCTACATCTCCAACTGCATCTCCACATGCGAGCAGATCAAAGACAAATACATGCAGGTAAACACACGGACCATCATGCATCTCTGTGAGCAACTTTTAATACTTTCATGTATAGAAATTTAATGCAACAAAGACGCATTAAATTGATCAAAAGTAACAGTATAGACATTTTACAGGGTACCCGCGGGTCTTAAAAGCCTTGAAAAAGTCTTGAATTTGATCATCTCAAATTAAGGCCTTAAAAGTCTTGAATTTAGTATACAAAGTCTTGGATTTCGTTACAAAGGCCTTATATATTTTTTGTGCCTTTGTCAGGATTAAGTTCATACCGTAACAAAATTAACTGTTACTAATGTAGGCTAATTAAAAATGTATGCAGCGTTGAGTGCACCTCGCGCTCCACGTCATAGCAGAAAAAGCGATAGCGTGCGCACCGTTACTATGCTTACTAGGCAAGTGAGGTACAGAACAACGAACAAGATAGTACCTAGCCTAGTTTAATCCGATGTGGCCACAAATGAAAGAATCTAAACCCCAAATAAGAGCTTTTCTGTTAAAAGAACATATTTTCTACCCGGTCTTTTCAATAGTATCTGGCAACCATGCGCGCGCGTTCTCTCTACACTGCTGAAGAAGCGCGGATGATCTGAAAACACAGACAAGCTGGAGTTCAGCGATCTTTATTTAAGATGTTCTACTTAAATTAAAGTGTCATCCAGTCGGTCTGTGTTCTGTCACGAGCCGCTTGCGCTGTTTGTGTGACTAAATCTGAAAATGCAGGCTGATATATCCACGAGCAAGAATGCAATGTTTCCCGAATATCCACACGATTTCAAATGTGACATTGATTTTATACAACAGTAAATAAGAAAAGAAAAAGGGTAACATTAAGTGATGTACTACATTTAAACCAGCATTGTCAGGCTTGCTCTATTTTGCAACGAAATGGTTTGAACGAATCGTGAGATTCAATGAATGAATGACTCAAAGACTCACTCATAAAGATAGTGAGTTACTGCCACCTACTGGCGATTTTAATGGGGGTTTTTTTAACATTGCACATTTAATGAAAAAATGAAATGGAAAAATTTATTAAAGGGGGCAAATCTTGTCCCTTAATGGAAAGGGTGCGACTGCAGTCTAAGTGGAAGAGAGGGGGTTCCAGGGGGTATATACGGCACTCTGAAAAATTGGAGAACCACAGAACTTAGGAAAAGGGATAATTATGTAGAACTGCACAAGTGCTACTGCTAAAGAGTGCAATGTCAATAATTTCTCATAAGCTCAATTGAATTGGCCTAGAGAGAATAATTAGTATGACATTTTCTGTCTAAAGACTACATATTATATAAAATAACTACCAAAAGTAAAGTAACTGCAGTTTGACTAAAAGTTGACAAACTGCAAAGACTTTTCGTCAACTACAACTATAAAAAACTGGATGACTCAAATGTGATTAAGACCAATAAACATTTTCATCTTAAGACTAAATAAAAAATGGCTGCCAAAATTAACACTGGCCTACACACACGTGCGCTACAATGCTGTTGCGTATGTATTAAATATGACTGATATATAATTCAATATATATATATATATATATATTTAATTCAAGTAGCCTCCTTGTACATAATTATTTTCTAGGGTTTAAAATGTATACAGATTTGACATTTTTCCCTCATACTTCTGTCGGAATGGGTACGAAGTTGGCATTGAATTTCATTTGAAATGGTATTAAAAAGGTCTTAAAAAGCCTTGAATTTAAGTTGGAGGATCTTTCAGATTGCCTGGTAGATTTTTTTTTTTTTTTGGTTTTAAGCAAAAAAAATCACTTAATTTTGATCTGTTTAAACAAGACTTAATATCTTCAGTCATTTTGCTTCTCCAGTAAAGGTATCTTGATTTAAGAATTATTAGATATTTGTGCTGGAAAACAAGACAATACTGAGAAAGAACATCATTTTTATCTGTGTTTGATTTGTATGGGCTACAGTGCATACGATACAATATTACACCAATTATTTGGTTACATAAAAGCATATATAGTCAGAATGTAACATGAAAACATGTATCAGATGATCTGAAAAACCTACAGAGAAATCTGGAAAAAAAAGTATGTTATTTTGAATAGGCAGATGTGGCTTAAAGGGATAGTTCACGCAAAAATGAAAATTAGCCCATGATTTACTCGCCCTCAAGTCATCCTAGAATTCGACTTAAGTCCAAAAGCGCAACATATGTGAGCGAGTAAAGTAGTGCTGATATTTACACTACGCCATGATACACTACGCTACTTCTGACGTCGTAAGTTGCGCTTTACGCGGAAGTGGAATCTGTCTGAATCGCTTTGCTTCAGAAGGCCTTTATTAACCCGCCGGAGCCTGTGGAGCACTATTATGATGGATAGATGCACTTTTATGATGGATAGATGCACTTTTATGATGGATAGATGCACTTCTATGATGGATAGATGCATTTTTATGATGGATAGATGCACTTCTATGATGGATAGATGCACTTTTATGATGGATAGATGCACTTTTATGATGGATAGATGCACTTTTATGATAGATAGATGCACTTTTATGATGGATAGATGCACTTTTATGATAGATAGATGCACTTTTATGATGGATAGATGCACTTTTATGATGGATAGATGCACTTCTATGATGGATAGATGCACTTTTATGATGGATAGATGCACTTTTATGATGGATAGATGCTCTTTTATGATGGATAGATGCACTTTTATGATAGATAGATGCACTTTTATGATGGATAGATGCACTTTTATGATAGATAGATGCACTTTTATGATGGATAGATGCACTTTTATGATGGATAGATGCACTTTTATGATAGATAGATGCACTTTTATGATGGATAGATGCACTTTTATGATGGATAGATGCACTTTTATGATGGATAGATGCACTTTTATGATGGATAGATGCACTTTTATGATGGATAGATGCACTTTTATGATGGATAGATGCACTTCTATGATGGATAGATGCACTTTTATGATGGATAGATGCACTTTTATGATAGATAGATGCACTTTTATGATGGATAGATGCACTTTTATGATAGATAGATGCACTTTTATGATGGATAGATGCACTTTTGTGATGGATAGATGCACTTTTATGATGGATAGATGCACTTTTGTGATGGATAGATGCACTTTTATGATGGATAGATGCACTTTTATGATGGATAGATGCACTTATAGATGCACTTTTATGATGGATAGATGCACTTTTATGATGGATAGATGCACTTCTATGATGGATAGATGCACTTTTATGATGGATAGATGCACTTTTATGATAGATAGATGCACTTTTATGATGGATAGATGCACTTTTATGATAGATAGATGCACTTTTATGATGGATAGATGCACTTTTATGATGGATAGATGCACTTTTATGATAGATAGATGCACTTTTATGATGGATAGATGCACTTTTATGATGGATAGATGCACTTTTATGATGGATAGATGCACTTTTATGATAGATAGATGCACTTTTATGATGGATAGATGCACTTTTATGATGGATAGATGCACTTTTATGATGGATAGATGCACTTTTATGATGATAGATGCACTTTTATGATGGATAGATGCACTTCTATGATGGATAGATGCACTTTTATGATAGATGCACTTTTATGATAGATAGATGCACTTTTATGATGGATAGATGCACTTTTATGATGGATAGATGCACTTTTATGATGGATAGATGCACTTTTATGATAGATAGATGCACTTTTATGATGGATAGATGCACTTCTATGATGGATAGATGCACTTTTATGATAGATAGATGCACTTTTATGATGGATAGATGCACTTTTATGATGGATAGATGCACTTTTATGATAGATAGATGCACTTTTATGATGGATAGATGCACTTCTATGATGGATAGATGCACTTCTATGATGGATAGATGCACTTTTATGATGGATAGATGCACTTTTATGATAGATAGATGCACTTTTATGATAGATAGATGCACTTTTATGATGGATAGATGCACTTCTATGATGGATAGATGCACTTTTATGATGGATAGATGCACTTTTATGATGGATAGATGCACTTCTATGATGGATAGATGCACTTTTATGATGGATAGATGCACTTTTATGATGGATAGATGCACTTTTATGATGGATAGATGCACTTTTATGTAGGGCTGTCAACTTTAGTCGTTTAGTCGACTAATCAATCGATGCCGTCTTGGTCGACTGACATTCTTATTGGTCGACCAGTTGCATTTTTTTTTTTTTTTACCAATAGAAAGACATTTTAAATTATTTACTCCTTGATATTTATTCCTTTATAAGCAGTTATATATTACTGTATTATAAATATAATTAGCCTATGGTTTATCCCCAACTTTAAATGCTTTAATTTAGGCTATTTTGTAGTGCTGCCGCGATTAGTCGACGTAATCGACCATGCAAATTAGTCGACGCCAATTTTTTTAGTCGACGTGTCGTTTTACTATTGACCGCATATTTATTTTTGGTCTCCCATCTCAAACGGCTCACTGTAATTCACCTCCACACACCAGTCTGTGCGATGTGCGCGCCCTTCTGGTTAATCTGCCATCCTCTTCCTTCCCCCTCCCCCGCCTTCACTGCTTTGATATGAAAAATTGCGGAGGCAGGTGACTGTGCTTTCACACTGGGCTCGTTTGCTGCGGTCCGAGCCCGCGCGCGATTGTTCCCGGCGCCCCCGCAGCGTTGGTCTGGTTTCACACTCAACTTAATTCTACCGAACCCTGGTGTGTTTGCGTGCATCTTACGCAATCTCAAACGTACACGGTGCATGATAGAAAACAGAACGCGGGTCAATATATATATATATATTTTAATTAATTCTGTGCTATTATGCGCAGCTGAGTGAACAACACAGGTGCGTGTGTCGCATAAGGTGGCCTTCTGCTGCTTGCAAATGGGCTTTTTTGAGGAGACACTTTTCCAAATGTGTTGCCCTGATTCCACGGGCTAAGCGCGGATACACTGCAGAC